CTCATTTCTTATTAGTTACCTTGAGGAGAAAGCTTTATAAGTAAATGGGGGTCTTACTTCTCCTTTTGTTACAGGTATGGACGACGTGTCATTAATGAACTTTATCTGAACCTTGTGTTTTTGGACTTTTGACATAGGGACGTTGGCTGGAACATCTTGTGGTTACAGGCTGATGACATTTCCCTGTCCCTTTAAGCAAGCTTCTAACTGTCCCTTTTATGCCACGTCTTCATTCTGATATTTTAATTCATATTTTATTCTACTTTAGAACAGTTGTGACGGTTTCATTCAGAGCTTCCGCTTGGTCAGGTGACCTGTGGTGGACATTCAAAACAGTGTCGTTATTGGGTTTCCCCCGTCTTAATTTCCACAGTTTTGATGTTCGTGAACCATTTTCTGCATAGAATCCTAGGGGTTGGACCGGACCTTGGAGGTCTTCTAGTCCAACCCCCTCTGCTCAAGGCAAAGGATCTTGTTATGCAGTGACAGACTGCATCCTTCGAGTATTTTACTCCAGTGGTGAGTTCCATCTGATCAGGCTTCAGTAATGCCAACCACGTCGTGTTTGCTGGGCTATAGCGAGATTTCAAGATAGCGGATCCTCATCTGTGGTTTCGTTTTGTCTTTTTAGGTCTGGTGGGGCTCCTGCTGTGTTCTTGAGCACCTCTTCCTGTCCACAACTTCCTTGTTAGGTGTGGGGCTTTGTTTCTTTCTAAGCATTTGCAAACTCTGGTCAATCAATTAGCAGGCGGACCTGTAGAATCTCGCAGACTGCAAGACTTTCCGCGTTCTGTAAATCCATTTGTGAAATTACTCCTAAGTTGGGTGTAGTGTGGTGTGTGTGTCGGTGGCAGATGTCAAAGGAGGACCATGGGTCAGACTCTCCCAAGGGATACCGACGTGAGGGCTGCACTGGGGGGGGGGGACGACACTTCGGAGTGCGTGTAAAGAGGAGATGGCTCAAGTGATGGAGTCAACTCAACCAGCATTTCTCAACTGTGTCAATTTTAAGATATGAGGACTTCAACTCCCAGAATTCCCCAGCCAGCATGAATCTAGATGTGTAATGGGGAATTCTGGGAGTTGAAATCCTCATCTCTTAAAATCTCTGAGTTTGAGAAACATTGGACTAGACCCAAAGTCCCTGGAGTTTCTTGGAAGACGTTTTGCTTCTCATCCAAAAAGCTTCTTACTTTCTGGATGTGAAGCGAAACGTCGTCCAAGAAAAACCAGGAACTCCAGTTGCCTTTTGGGAAAGCATTTTTGAGACCTGGATGATGACTGAGAACCTGCATAGACATTGGACTAGGCCAGGGGGTCCCAACCTTTTCTCCCCCGCGGAGACCCCTTTCAATACCATTTATGGCCGCAGAGATCAAGGCCACGGACCCGTCGGACGTAACGCAACCTTTCAATCTTAACATTGTTTTCAAGACTTCGCGGATCCCCTGTGACATCGCAGCCCCCCCCCTCCCCAGGGCTCCATGGGCCACAGGTTGAGAACCACTGGGCTAGACAACGGGGCAGGTGGCTGAAAACCAGTTGCAATGACCGAGGATCGTAGGAAGCTCTTCTGAATGAAGGCAGACCCTCCATTTCCTCCCCCCAATTGGCAGCTCTCCATAGATCCAGCCAGGATCCCTTGAAGAGTCAGAAGGGAGTACAGAGGTCATCTAGCCCAAGGAACTATACCAGGGGTGTCAAACGTGCACCCCACAGGCCGGAGGCCTCACACGCTGGCCACGGCCACTCCTGGTTCAGTGAGGGGGGGGGTGAAAGTTGTGATAGGTCACGTGACTGTTGCACATCATTGTGCATTCGACACCCTTGTGGGCAACTGTGCCCCCTTCACGACCTGTGAACTTCAGAGTTGAATCCCACAGGTGGTAGAGGGGTCGTGGTTGCCCACCCCTGCCCTACGCAGGTCAAGGTCTTAAGAGCCGAGGTGGCGCAGTGGTTAGAGTGCAGCACTGCAGGCTACTTCAGCTGACTGCAGTTCTGCAGTTCA